GGGAGCCCGAGGCAGGAGGATCACTTGCAGCCCAGGTTACAAAGTGAGCTCAAACTGCATAGAGAAACCCTGTCACAAAAAAAAAATAGATATATGCATCAGAAGACTTAAAAAGAAAAACAAAAGACTTAAAAAGGATGCATTCTATTTGAGACAGACGAAATTGTGTATGGAGAAGAATCAGAACTATATTCAACTAAAACTATGTAATTCAAATCAATTTTAAAAAAACAGAAGAAAAAATTCCAGTCTACTTGCATGGATTGTTTTGAGTGTTGGAACTATACCTATGGTGTTTTTTACCCTCTTCCAGCCAAGTTTCAAAGATGAGTACAGACTGGGACTTTCTGATAGAAACAGCCACACATTGTGTCAAACAGAAAAGTACTCATCCATGGTTTCTAACGTCACCTATCTTGACGCAGTCATGAGCTTTGTATTCTTCTGTTTGGGTTTTTTTTTTTGTGGGGGGGCTGTTTTTATTTTTTGGTGAACCAATCCTACAAAGCACATTTAAAGGATTTAAGGACAAAACCCCATTTGGGTAAATTCCCAACAGAAACCTTAAGAAGTCTGCAAACAGAATGAAGAGCAAGATGCAGAGGGAGAGGAGAGATGGCAAAGCTGAGGGAGAAAGGGCAGTGGATGGGTGGGAGAGAGGTGGCCCGAGAGGGGAAAGTATGGAGTACGTAAGAGCGTCACACGGGTTTCAGAGGCCTCGGGTGTCAATGGCTTCCTTACTGGTAAAAAGAGGACCATATTGTTGGCTTTAAAAGGTGTGAGAATAAATTACACAAAGCCAGCTTTTCAAGTAAACATTTGACCCAAAGTACCAGTAAGCACTCAGGGAATGTTCTAATAAAAGTGAGCTCTCTTTCCCAGCAAGCTTAGCACCAAATGAAACGCTGTCACAATTTCAAGGTCAGAGGACAGGCTCTTAGTGAACCTCAAGTAAGCCCAGGGAAACCATCCAGAAGACGATGCGGAACCCCTCTCGCTGGAATGAGCGATCCAGGGACACCATTTGCATTTCTTTTTTAGGGAATTAGAAACAGCATTTGGTCATTTTGCCCAAGACACAGCAGGGAATAGTCCCCGAGACACATCCATCAGAAGCAAGGCCCTCTTTCTGATCAGAGTGCCACACTTTCCTAGCAACTGCCCCAAAGCGGCCTAGGAAGGAATCCTAGCTTGTAGGGTCAACACGTGCACCAACACGGACCCAAGATAACAGGGCTATGAGTTGCAGTCCTAGCCACACTGGTGGGGTCCACACAACGCTGTCTAGGAAAGATGCAAGACATTCGCTGGTTGAATAATATATTAATGATGAGGTTCCTGAGCCGCTCTGGTGTTTTCCTACCAGCACTCTCTCCAGTGCTTTGAATTTCCATGGCAATTAAAATTGTGACCTTAGTGCTGAGAGGGAATAAAAGACAAAATGCTTTTCTTCAAATAAAGAGGCTGATTGTTTGGGACTGGTATATATACATAGACAGAGGTTATGCAAAATATGATACTAAAACAAGTTTAAAATATATGCACAGCAAAACTAGATGTTCACCTGGCTGCTAGCCAACAGAAATGCCCGTGTTGAGGTGTGTGTAGCCTTCCCACGTAGCACCACAGCACTAGCGCTTGGGCGTCCTGCAGACCTGGGAGGCATTGGGACCTTAAGAGAAGCTCAAGTTAATCTGTGCAGAAACGCTCTCTGAACCAGTGGTTCTAACAGCAGAAACCAAAATTAACGAAAAGGTGGCAGAGTTGGGTGATGGGCTTCCACGTTGTGGTCCCTCCTTAACATCCTACCTGAGGCATCATGCATCTAGCAAAATAACTGAAAGGTCTGAGAAGATGGTTAGCAGGGAGAAGGAAAAAAAAAAGAGGGGACCTGAACCCAGTTCCCTGAAGCTTGAAAGGCACTAGAAAAAGTGAAATGGTATGTGTTAAAATATATAGTGGTATTGTTCTTTTCATCTCTAAAAATTAACTTTATTGCTTCTGTATCATTTCACCAATAGATAAAATTCAGAGCAGTTTCTTCTGAGGCCATGTGGATCCCATTTCATTATATTACTTAATATTCTGAAGGGATTTCAAACTAGTTTGGATATGTTGAAAGTCCCAAAGCTAACACACAGGGTAGACAATGCTATTTCAGATGATATCTTGACGTAAACTCCTAAAAATGGTATCTGTTGGTGACCAGAATGGGCAGCGATTTTGCAAGCAAAGGCTTTCTAGCCTAGCATTGACCTTGACGAAAGTAATCAGGCCTCCTCCATTGAAGTTCAAACAACAAAACCACCCATCACCTCATTTGAAAGAGCAAAACCACAAGCCACAGGCTTCAGCCATTACTGGGGGAAGCATCTATGTCTTGCTTCCTATTGGTAACTGCAGCAAGGTCTGTTTTATTCAGGTGTGAAACTGTATGCTGGTCACCTTTTGTGTTTAAAGAAAGGAGGACAAAAAGAAGAAAAGAGACCACAGAGAGGTAGGCACACTCTTCCCTTTTGGGGTAGAGTCTGTGGCATTGACTGACCTTAGAACACTGAATTCTTCTGAAGCTAAGCCCCAGGAACAAGGCCAGCCTAAGATATGTTCACAGTTAGAACAGGAAAGAGGATCACTGGGAAACATAGGAGGGGATAAAACGAGCATCCTGGGGTAGCTGGTACATGCAAAAAGGATTTGCCAGCCATCAGACACAATGGTGTCAAATTCAGATCACCCTACCCAGATTCTAACTTGTCCCTCAGTCCCCTGCATGGTTGGGTCAGGAAATGACAGTGATGCTTCTGGCAGGGAAAAACCACACACAAGGGCACAGACTGGGCTCATGAGCAAGAGGAAGCCTGGACATTGTTCTGGAACCTCAGTTCACCCTTGAGCATCCTACAGAACTGAGAAAGCTGAATAAGATCACCTGTGTTGGGATGTTCTTCTCTGGTAGACTGGAGATCTAAATTCCCCTATAGTAGGGGACTTTGCTTGGGGTGGGGGAACTCCCAGGATGCTTACTTCCCAGGATGTTTGCTTGTTGACCAAGTAAGTGAAAAATTTACAAGGATCTGGTTTGTATGATAACTTAGGGATTCTTTATTTAGAGGAATGTTCATCTTCCTTCCTCAAGTTCTTCCAGGGTTTACCTCACCAGTTTGGTCCAGGGACCACACAGGACACAGGTCTTCCTTCGGTCCCTTTGATACTTTGGACATCATCTTGACTGGCTATTGCATCCTTGTTCAACCTCTGCCTGAAGCTCAGCTGGAATCAGGCCCTTGAAGCCACTTCTCTGATCAGCTGGAGATACTCAGACTCTATAATTTACTGGAATAGGAATATTCAGCTTACAGAAGGGGCAGTGGCTTAGGTACAGGGAAGCCACATGACCTTGAAATTACACAGACCTGGGTGTGACTCACAGCTTTGCTGACTTAGGAGTAGTGTGGTCAGTGGTAAAATTGACGTCTTCATCTGTAAGACAGGAAGAGGGGGCATTAGTAGGACCTCGGTCCCATTAGAAACTAGGTAGGTGCAGCTTACTTACAACAGGCTCTGGCTCTCCTCTTTCACAGTGGTGGGGATGATTTTCCTGAACATAATATTATTCTTTCCCTCCATCATCATCTATTAAACCCACCATGTGAAAGGTAGAGTTCAAGGCAGGTGATTACTGTTGCAAAGGAAGCAGGTAAAGTTTTGTGGTGTTTATATTACAGGGAGAGAGAAAACCAATAGAGAGACTCATTATGTTTTGGAGGAGAAAAGTAAAAGGCAAATGGAAGATGAAAAGAGATGACATGATGAATGCAATGGCTAGAAATGACACCTCATCTGGAAATGATCACATTTGAACAGTGAGAGAGAAACCCAGGGATATTTCTGGAAGAAACACTTCAGCAGAGGGAACAGCGATTATGATGACTTTGCATTGAGAGTTAGCATCAGTAAGCTGACTGACCTTGCATCAGTTAGCTTTTGCTGTGTAACAAGTAATCTTAAAATTATAATGGCATGGAATCACAAACTTTTGTTACCTTTTGCACATCTGTGAGTTGACTCAAAGTTTCTCTTCCTCTGGGGTGACTCAGTTGGAGTGGATAGTACAGGATTGCCTCGTTCACAAAGGTAAGCGTGAGCCTGACGGCTGATCTGGTGGTGACCTTGTGCCATTAGGCTGGCCTAGGCTCAGGAACATGGAGGTATCTGCAGGATTCCACAGGGTAGCAGAAAAGGACAAGCCTCAGTGCAGCAGCCAACACAAGTTATGTAGCCCGCGTCAAAGTTGGCTTGGAAGGTGGCCACCAAATAAGGGGATACTAAGAGAATGAGGATAAGCATTTGTGCAAACAGTCCACCTTAGAGACAGCAGGGGTTTGTACAGAAGAGTGACATTTCCTGATACATACTTTAATAGTCCTGGAATTATAAGGACTGACTCCAGGGGAATATACCAGATGGGAGGCTGCAGAGGCCAGTGGTGTCTGACAGCTGCACCACAGGGAAGGAAGCCCAGGGATGCGCAGTGTTGCCTATCCTGGAGCCGCCTTACCAGGAGAGGCAACGACAGGCATCCGCACTCTCCATTTCATGGTACAGCATTTCTTAGCACAAATGCATATTCTCCATTATGCCCGAGTGGACTTTCTAGTGTCCTTTCTAGTGTAATCTAAAATTTTGAATTTCCAGAATGTTGCATTTGAGAAGTTTGTTGAATAAATCAATGAATGTAGGAAGGCTTGTTCTATATAACTGAGAAAGCTTTTAAACTTAAGGGGAATCCATGGTGTAAAAAGAGAGGTCCAAGTGGAAAAGAGTCACCAACTGTCCCGGATGTACACAGACACTCGCTAGCCACTAAGTTCTTCATAATCACAGGGGAACAAGCCACTGAGGACTGAAATGACACGCTGTGAGTAATGTCAAAACATCTTAAGGTATTGTGTTAAACGCTAGTCATTTTCTTTATTTTTCTTTCTTTCTCTGACAGAAAATACGACGCTGGTATGCTGATTGTGTGAGACAACCTGGGCACAGACAGCCACAAAGCACAAAAACAAAACCCAAACTTGGAGAAGAAGTAACAACCACGTTTTCCTGGCATCTACAAGATGTGCTTTATTTTTCTTCTAGTTTCTTTTCTAAAAAACACAAAACAAAAACAAAAAAACTGAAACAAACATTTAAAGAAATGATCCAAACTTCAGGTGATTGTAGTCAAGCATGTTCTTTTATTAAGCCTAGGAGGGGAGGAAGGGGTGGAAACTAAAGCCAGGTGCAGAAGCAGGGGGACTGAGGGACTGTGAAACTCACCCCCCGGGCTGCTCTTGGGACCCTGTGTGGAAAATGAAGGGACTTCCAGTTTGTTGCCCACTGCAAGGACATCTCATATTCCCATGGACAAGATGCTCCCTTTCTTGCCCATCTAGCTATCTAGGGAATGGTTTGCAAAAATGATTTATCATCTCTAAAGAATTATTGGTATAGCTTTGGCAAAGGATTGGTGACAGACACTGCCAGACCCTTGTGCCATCCTAACTCTCATTAGCAGAATCAGCTGGGACAAATCTCTGGGATTCTCCACCGGAAATTGCCAACCCTACTCAGACTTGGTTGGGATGAATGAAACCATAATCTCCTCAACAAATGCACAGGGCAAGGATGAATGCTTGATTTTGATTCTCTAGACAGGAGAAAGCTACCTCTGGGTGCAGTGGTGGCCATGTGACAATGGGACATCAGGCTATCCTAAAGTTAGAGAGAGTTGCTTGTGCTTCTATAATGAGAGGAAGAACCCACATACAGGCCAAGCTTTTGCTTTCAAATAACCCACCACCAGAAAGCAGAGGGACTCATGCCGACCCCGGCCAGAGAGAAGCGACACTGTCCCTGTGCCCTGCAATTGCTTGCTCCCCATCACTACTTCTTATCTGTCAAGCACTTTTACTTCCTTTGCTCTTGCACATCTGCATGGCCGGGACATGGAACTGCGGTGCCAGGCAGGAAGGGGCCCTGCTAGCCAGATGTGCTGCCCAGCCGCTCCTGCACCAGCCGCTCACTGAGCTCCCACAGGGCCTGCGCCGTCTCTTCACTCTGAGCCTGTGCTGAGGGCAGGCAGCGGCAGCAGTTATTGAAATACATTCCTCCCAGGCCTTCCATCTCCGGAGCTGCTGCGCAGTAGACGGTGGTGGCTGCTCCTTGTTGCTGAAAAGCAAGGGAAAGAAGAAGCCTTAAGAGGTGATGGCCAGCATTGGTGAGTGTCCCACACCCGCCCACACGCAGCTGGGTACCAACGCCAAAGGATGCCGAACGCAAAGCAGTGGCTATCAGAGGTGCTACGGGACCGTCCCCACAGAAGGAGTTCATAAACTCCACTTGTTACGTGGGTGTGATGTTCTACACCTCTAACAGGAAACGGCTTGGAGAACAAAAGGACTCGGATGCATACATCACGGGGGAGGGGGCAGACCGTGTCCTTCCTGACACACCAGAAGGGATGCATACAGCCCCTTGGCCTCCTAATGTGTAAAGTACTCTGACACAAGAACTTTCTAGTACTTCTCTGTAAATTAAACCAAGCACTCTTAGTGATGGTCCCTCAAGTAGAAAACCCAGATGGGGTTGGTGCCAGTTTTTTTTTATTCTTTGCCCATGGTGTGCTAGGGGAGGTGTTTGGAATGCTGTTAAAATGAGTCTTAAATGTTTAAGACTGGCACACCAAGGCACGTGCTCTACACACACACACACACACACACACACACACACCCCTATGCATCTGAAAAACCTTTGTCAGCTGTCTTACGTGTCCTGGATTTGCAGTGGGACACCGGCTGAGGGTACATTCCCTCCAGCCCAAGTCCAAATGCAAGTTGTAGCGAATGCTATTGATCACTTTTGGTTCAACTCTGATGCAACAGCGGCGGCCGGGGCTAGGGAAGGGTGTGTGCTGATGGGCACTGTGTCATCTGGCCGGGCAGAGACTGCTGTGAAGAGGGCAAGAAATCACTTCGCTTTGCAAACCATAATTAAAAATAATAGGCTGCTGTTCATAGGGAGACACTGTACACACGACTCTAATTTAAAACCAATACAGTTTATCTGGCATCTTATGATTATTTATGTGCATTTCAGCCCTTGTTGTACCAACTAATTATCATTTCATGGGGGTGGGGTTTCAATAGAGCATTAAAAGGCAACAGCAGAGGAGGTTGTCCTTAAGGATATGCTAAGGTTGTCTGCTTGCAGAGGGACACAGATTTCTGTCCCCACCCAAAGGTGCATTCTAGGATCATTGGGAGCTGGAGCCATTCTGAGAACCAGGATCACAGATGTGATAATTGGAGGGCAGTTTTAGAAAGAAGATTTAGGGCTTTGTGTCTTGCATTAGCTTCAATGTCTATGATCATAGTTGAAAAATGAAACCGTCCAACGCACCAAGGGACCTGATCCTAGGAAAGGTGTGGCATGTGAGCAAGAGGGACCCCAGCTTCGGTAGCACTGACTGCACTCTACTGGACAAGGGCCACCCATCCAGGAGTTGAACAACTGACAAGATCTGAGGTTCATTCACCGATCACTAGTTTGCTACCTGCCCGTTCCTTGCCCTCTTACCCTGCCCACCTCTCACCAGCCAGTGAATGTCCTGGATGCAGCTGCCGCTTTCCCAATTGCTTTGTGGGTCTTGAGTCTAATGGAAATGAGCTTATGTCATTCGAATTTCCTTTCGCTGCATTCTCATTGCTAATAACCCTCAGCTCGGCACCCGGCGCATTGCTCTACAGATTGTCCCTTGGTTTCTCCGACTCCTATCCTGGGAAGAGGGAAGCACAAGTGCCTCTGCCAATGAATGGGAGACCCGAGATGCATACCCAGCTAACTCAAGCCAAAATAGCCCCAGTTTCAGTCCTTAGAAGTCAAGTGGAGACGCTGCTTTGTATAAACTTTAGGCCAGGTGTCCTGGGTTTCTACTGTACTTTGTAGCTGCAGTGTCTACCAGAGAGTGGTAAGACGCCCTACGCTCGGCTGCTAAATGGGGAGAGCTCCCATCAACTCAGGCTCAAGTCCCACCCTCCAATCCTGGAGGGGTCATAACATCAGCATCCATGTGTCAGGGTGGACCTGCCCTTCTCAGGATCTGCCCCTCATGAGAAAAGTCCAAGGGAAGGCTCAAAAACAAAACAAAAATGACTTGGGAAAGCAAAACCCAAATTCTTCCCAGCCCAGTGTAGCATTTTGCCACTATCACCTTCTAAAATGTTATCAGATTTCCTTGTAGCATTGTTGAAATAGTAGTTTTACCAAGAAATTCTGTGGTCACATTGATTCAGAATCACGTGGATCAAGGGTAGGGGTTTCACACTGGCGCTGCAGAGTCTGCAAGCAAGTGCAAGCAATGGGCCTCATTTCCCGCGAGCCCACACTGGACGGCCATGCGGAGAACCATGCCTTTCAGAAAAGCCCATGTTTTCCTTTGCTCAAGCAATAAGTGACTGTGATTCTTTTTGCCACTGGGCTTGGTGTTCAGTCCAAATGCCAGCACTGTAGGTCTGGCTTTTCTAGAACATGGCACAGAGTGGAGACACCTAAAAGCAAGGCCCACCTTCTCCACCCCAAGCTCTGCTGTGCACACTTTTTCTCCCCATGCAGAGCAATTAAGTAGCAACAAGGTCTTGTTGGTCCCACACTCTCCTCTTCTTGGGGAATTCTCTTTCCAGAAGTCCCAGTAGTAATCTCTGAGTGACATCTTTATAGGATCAGATGTGACGACAGTTTAATAATAACAAGCTCTCATTTTGGGCTCATCAGCTCTTTGGTCTGCATATCAACAGAACGAGACCAAACCATTTTCATGAAATCTCATTAGTAAACAAGCCCACACTGCTGATATAAGATGAAACATTTTTAAACACATTAAAACATTTTTTAAAGCATACTTTAATCACCATCAGATGACTTTCATGCCACTTTGGGGGCATCAGTCCATAATTCAGAAAAGATGAAAAAGCCATACAAAGGAAATAATGGTAACAACTCCAATATCTGGGGCTGTGACTTGCCAGTTGCCACGATTGCTTGCTGATCTACTGTGAAATAATAATACCTTGATGTAGAAACACTGGCTGGAGCTATGGGCTCACCTAAATGATTTCTGAGAACAATTTATCAGTAAGTTGCAAGCTGATCGTGGAAGGCAGAGAAGTGCCACCTCTAATCCAGTCGAGGCAGGGAGGCAGGATGTGGACGACTCAGGACTGAGGATTTCTGGGAAGCCCAGTAGAGTATTTAATCATGCCCGAATGCCATGTTCTATCTAGCCCAGCATTTGTGAGCTCCCAGAGAAGAACTGTGCCATCAATCTTTGCGGTGTGTGTAAAATTACCCAGGATTCTTGTTTGGGATCAAGCTAAGAGCGTCTTGGTCATAGTGGCGCATCATTCTCGTTCAGGAATCATTTGTCAGATCTGAAGCACAATCTTCTACTACAGAAAGGTGGGATTTAGGAAGCAGATGCTACTTGTTTGTGTTTGAGGCCCGAGATCTAAATTATCCATCCTTGTAAAACTCTTTGTGGGGATGAAAATGTTAAGTAGCCGCTTTTCATCAACATTTATTTGATAACTGCTAGCCATCAATTTGTAGCTGTCAGCACAGAATATAAATGAATATTGACTCCTTTAAGAGAAAAAGCGCAGAGGTTTCTGATAAACAATACATGGCAAAGAAAAAAAATCACACATATTGATATCAGTAGAGCATTGGTTAGTACTCTGATATAATACGTTCTTATAAGGACATATATCACAGGATTAAGTGTAGTTTTCAGGTTTCCCTACTTTCATATGCATGCTTATTTAAAAGAAAGAATAGATTCCCATCTTCAAGTAGATGTAACTATGAGATGCACTTACAAATAGACACAGTGCCACGGCGTCTCTGTATATTCAATGACTGCAAGAGCAGCAGACATTCTCAGATTGCTTTGTTATAGACGCATCGATAAAAGGACACTGCACAGCAAATTCTGAATTAATCAACTGGTACAAAAGAGTAGATCTTGGCAGGGAACTATCATGCACAAAGGCCTGAGGACCCCGAGGGCAGGGAAAGAGGCCCACCCTTCAGAGGTGGGGAGTGTCCACAGAGCTGAACCTCCAGAACGAAAAGGTGTCCCCAAGTGAGCAGGCTTGACAATAAAAGGAAAGACAGACATCTATCTAAACCCATACAGGCCTCACTGCTCCTCACTGAGGGCCTGCTAAGCAAAGCGAACCCCCAGGCACTCCCAGCCACCTGCTCCTGGGAGTGTAATGACAACCGACCAGAGAGCACGAGAGATGCGGTGCGTGCAGCCTTGTGCGCGCAGTAAGTAGCTGGCTCCACCCTTTCTCTGGAGCTCCTTGGCTCATGGTAACATGCCCACAGGACAGTTTTTAGCCACGCTGTCAGACAGGTGTGACATGGTGTTCCAGAGTTTACCTTCAGATACCTTGGTGTTTGGGATGTAGCTCTCCCTAGAAACAATTATGGTTTCAAAAACAAACAGAAAGCAAGCTGTTCCAAGAGGTGATGTGCTCCCCACTTACTACCCAAGGACAACTTCTCAGTGGGCAATCTGCTCCTACATTCCATCAGATCACAGAGTCCTACAGTTTATATAACACAGATTCACAGGCCTCTCTACTTGGAGTGGCCACAATCAATGGGTGCTGTCTTCCTCCACTGTCACACACACACACACACACACACACACACACACACACACACACCAATATTAAATTGCAATTAGTGCTAATCAGCAAGCAGGCTAACTTGCCCCAAATCTTGGGAGGCAATAGAAAAGTACAGAGAGCCCCGGAAAGGACTCTGTCCTCCAGACTGTCTGGTTTTCCAGTTGGGTGTCAGCCAATGGGGGCTTTTCAAATCATTGGCGTGAACAGTAGTGATTGAGATGTTACCACTCGCCAGACACCTGCAGAAAGTGTCACAAGAGTTGCATTCTAACCCTCATGCTGCTCGGCAAGACTGGAAGCATTAGCATCCTCAGGTATGGAGAACCCCACTTAGTATCGAAGATCAAAAGCAAACTCATCCCCGTGTATGGAAAGCCCACTTTGTGCCAGAGATCAAAAGCAACTTGTCTGTAGACACACGGATAATCACGTAGATTGTCCAATTATGGTTTCCACTTACATGTCTCCCATTTG